TTTATAGCAATTTTATAAACTTTTTGACTCTCTGAAATCCTAGCAGCTCCTTTTCCTTAAGCTGAAATTAGTCAAGAACGTAAACGCAGCGGTACGTAAACCCGTGTCAGCTGACACGATCTATCTTACCAGAATGCCATGTAAATGAAAACTAAGCACCGCAGAATTTTTCTGTAGTTGTAGCCCGTAGCGCAGAAATCTGCGGAATTTAGATTTTTCCGTGTCAGCTGATTTCTCCTTCTTTAGATGGTTGCCACTTCGTCAGTTTTACAGATGGTAAAAAAGATATAAGTTCCTACTCAAAATATGTTTAAAATATTTGAAATTTACTATTGAATAAGGTTTTTGTTGAAAACTAAGTAGTTTATATTTAGCTAAAATCTATTATAGCACGAAAAATTGTAGTTGAAAGGTTAAGTTTATGAAAAGGTATTGATGAGTGGCAACAGTGTAGTAAGCAACACTGAGGGCTCCAGTAATCGACAAAATTCTGCGTATACAGACTGCGTTTAAGTATACGTTCTGCGTTCTCGACTAATTTCAGCTTAAAACCACTTGGAAAAACGACATCGAATTTCCCCAAATAAATTATCCCATTTGTTGTTGGCTTGTGCTTTCACACCAACACACAGGCGGGAGTGTTGCCAATAAATTATTTTCTTAGGCAAAAATGTAGCTTACGCTACGCGCACACTGCAACCGGGATCGGCTGATATCGGCTATATGCGGGCGATATAAATAAACACTTGTGATTATATGAGCACTCTCACACATAAACCGCTAACTGAACCGACATCGGCCGTTGACGTCCGTCAGTGACGATAAATTCAAACATGTTTGTTTTTCTCGTCCGATGTCAGGAAGAAAAGTACCAAAATGGACTGCGCAAAATTAACTTATTGGGTGCAAAAATAAAAAAATTACATATAAAATCACATGTTTAGAGTATATGTCAATTAAAATGTATCAAAATATTTCACTGCTTACAAAATTGTAATGAAAACTAGATTCGTGTGTACAAATAATCTGGTTAAGTGTGGGCATCATTTCGGACGGTCAAATTGTTCGGCCGAAATCGGTCGGCCTATCGAATGCAATGTGCGCCTAGCGTTATTATCTGACTAAAATGGAGCAATTTTTTTTTTTAATCTTGCAATTATAGTTAGAGATTGCGGTTTGGTTTGATTTGTTTATTATATCAAAAATTATCTCCATTCTACTATATAAATAATTAAATATTTACAATATATTGACAAGTTGCGGCTTTTTAAGTTTTTATTGCTTAATTTTAATTATTAGGGGTCTTCTCAAAAGTTATAAACTGTTGATAAACGTGATAAAATAATAAAATTATCATTTTGATAAATGAACTGTCAAACTTTGTATGGAAATCTATGTAACCAAAGTTTATCACTTTATCAAACGATTTTGATGGATAAACGTGGAAACTTCAGTAAAATTCAATTGACAGGTTGCCAGGTGGCCGCTTTTGCTACGAACACATAAAAAGCAAACGAACACAATGGACGAGGAAGAATGAGACGTAACTAGCCATATAAGTGAAATAATAAACAATTTTATTCTATTATTTACCGAGGTGCGTTCATGAAAGAATGCGGATAAACTGGTAAATTTAAGAAATGTATCCCTTTATCACTTTAGATGAAGACCCCTATTATATTGTTAAAATATAGCTAACTCTACAACAAAAACTAAATAGGTCATGGATTAAAATTTTGTAAAAAAAATAAAAAGTAATACGACAAAGTCGCAGTAAAATTTTGGTATGCAGTCTTATAGCCCATTAAATTTTAATATCTTAAAGTGGTTGTTGTTGTTGTAACGGCATACAAATTATCCAAAAAGCTTTTGGGGAGTGTTGCTTGAGTGATATACTACGTTTATACGTAAGCTATTTGCAAAAAAAATAATTTGCAAATACCTAACTCACTGTTTATTCGATGGTGAAAAATTCTTTTTTAATATTGCCTGATTATAAAAAGGCAATAATATGACCATCGAAAAAGAAAATAAAGTTAAAAATGGCAACGTCTTGATTATAAAAAGGCAATAAGATGACCATCGAAAAAGAAAATAAACCTAAGAATGGCGGCGTCTTGCGCTTATTTGCAGATAGTACCACTAATCAATTCTTATTTGCGAAATTTAGTTATTTGCAAATAAAAAATTAACTCAGCGTTTATACGGCAAACTACCATTTTGCAAATTGTTATTTGCAAATAATACGTGCGTATAAACGTTGTAATAGTCCTTGGCCAGCAGTGTTGCCAGAACTTTTTGGGGTGACCGGCTAGATTGAACAAAAAAACGGCTAAAAACGGCTAAAATATTTCAACTAGAATTAACTTTTTTTTAATATATAAATTACAATTACAGCATTAGTATTAGTATATTTGTAAAATATGGCCAAAAAAGAAGATTCGCCCTTTGCAAGCCAAATTTATATTTTCCACCAAAATTAACTCATTACCATTATGAAGAAGTCTGCGAAATCAGAAAATACAGTGAAGGCGTGCGTGAGCTCGCAAACCGCTCACGCAAGCGAGATCGGCTAGCACGTGAAGACGGCCAGTTAAGTAAAAATTGGCAAACAATTCAGCAAAGTGAAATTGTTGAGTGGTAGCACTGTGACTTCGAGACTCGCTGAATAAATGACCCGTAATGCTGAATTCCTGTCTGACGCGTTTTTGCAGTAAGGGTGGGTAACTCTGTAAATTTTGGTGTGCTGACTCAGTAACTCCAACCCACTTTAATGAGTCAGCACAGTGAGCTGGCACAAGTGTGCTATCGCA